TATCATAGCATCTGTGCAATAAAAATGAAATTTGAATATTTTCCCACTTCTCAAACTTCCCAGGTTCCCCCCCCCCCGGGAATTTTGTCCTAGTGACTCAACATTTCTAGAGCACGTCTTTTCAGAGCCTTCACTTTGTTCCTGAGGCCCATCCCAACATTCTAAGCAGGTGTTCAAGTGACATAGAAATTTGGAGGACAAAGGAGATAATTCCCAGTTTGTTTTCATAAATTGCTCTCTAAATGGGGGGGGGTTGTGCCTTTGAGTCAGTGTTGACTCTTGGCGGCTGCCTGGACGAGTCCCTGCGGTTTTCTTGGCAACATTTTTTTGAAAGTGGTTTGTCATTGCCTTCTTCCTAGGACTGAGAGAGAGTGACTTGGCCCAAGATCACCCAGTTGGCTTTGTGCCTAAGGGAGGACAGTCTCCCAATTTCTAGTCTGGTGCCTTAACCACTATACCAAACTGGCTCTCCTAACCTGTTTGGGCTTCCTAATATCTACAACATGTTTAAATAATGCAAAAGTAGACTTCTGGTAGGCTGTGCTGAAGTTTGGGTACATACGTATCGTTTGGCAGTGTGAGTTTATTTTTGATTACCTGATGTATATTATATAAAGTATCTGAAGAGCTTTCTGAATTCATTTGCAATTCTTTTTTTAGAATTGAAGTTAGGAGAGTTGCTTCATGACAAACTGTGAGTTTATACTTTTTATATATATTCAGATGTCAAATGAATGCTTGGTAGATCTTTTCCTCATTTCAGTAGTATGTACTAATATCACCTTGGGTATAAACAATGTATGTTGTAATATGGACAAACAATTACAATTTGTATTACTGTGAAAACAGAGTCTTACATATTCAACTGGACTTAAATTTTATATAAAGATGTTTGGAATTAGGCAGTATTCTCTAATGATTTATTTTGATAACAGATTGTTTGGAGAAAAATTATCTGTTAAAGCTTGAAATATAATTTTTACACAATGTCCTATGTTTCTATGATGAAAAAATATTTAATTGGATTTAAGTTCAGCAATTTTGGATGGTGTGTTTTAGGAACTCAACACAATTGCATCATGTTATTTTTTATTTTAATCTATTGGTCATTTAAACTACTTGGGTTTTGTAGTGAACTAGACAACCCTGTGACCTGTTGGGTCATCCTTTGACCAGAATGAACATTAAATTTTAGGCTGAGCATATTTTTTTTACCCCATGCTGGGTGGTCCTGTGATCATCTAAAAAGAGTATATATCATAAATAGAAAAATAATTGTAGTAGCAAACAAACTTCAATAATAAGTCAATAGTTACTTACCTAAAGAGATCAACAGAGTGACCATAGGCAGGTAAAAAAGCAGTGGGAGCAGGAGCAACTTCCGACTTCCTGCTGACTTCCGCATTGACTTTGTGCTGGCAGGGAGCGTCAGAAATCATGATCACATTACCATGGGGATGCTGAACAACCACAACTTTGTGAATTAAAGTGGTCTGAACATTGTGGAAATTTAATTCCACAGAAGTAATGGGTCCCAGATTTTTTATGCATTCTTTAAGTTAGCAAATTTTAGAATACTTTAGAATACTTTATTGGCCAAGTATGATTAGACACACAAGGAATTTGACTTCGGTGCAAAGAGCTGTCAGTGTGTTTGCATAGCATCAAGAAATAAAGAATAATATAAAATAATAATAATAATGTTATACTAAAACTATGGAGTCAGAAGAGGAGAATTAGAGGAAGAATACTGCGGCTATTGTCTAATATTCATTTTTTAAAAGGAGAAGTTATTATCTAGCATATATTCACATTTAACAGAGCATTATCAGTCACGTCTTAACAGTCATATCTTATCATGCAATGTCAGTCAATATGTCATGCTGCATTAATTAGGTGTTCAGCAGAGCAGTGGCACAAGGGAAAAAACTGTTCCAGTGTCTAGATTTTTTAACTTACGGTGCTCTGTAGCGCCG